AGAGAGAGAGAGAGAGAGAGAGAGAGAGAGAGAGAGAGAGAGAGAGAGAGAGAGAGAGAGAGAGAGAGAGAGAGAGAGAGAGAGAGAGAGAGAGCAAGCACGTGTGTGTGTGTGGTGTGTGTGTGTGAAATGATCATGTGAAGTGAAAGAAAAAGCTTTCACATCCATGTACATCCGGATGTATGTCAAGTAAATTTTGATGCTGAACGCAATAAAATTTGGGAACTGTGTGCGCGATACGCTCAGATACGCTCAGAGGTAATGCATGGGCTTGCTGTGACGGCTGGCGACATGGGCAGCGACGCTCATGTATGACAAAGAACAAGGGAGCAAAGCCAGTTAACGCATTGCAAGACGGGCCGAACGGTCTTGGTCGGCGGGGCATTGGTATAGCGCCAGACACAATGTGTGGGCGAGAATGTCGACTTGGTCTTGGATCGGTTCCAAAGGTCGGTTTGCTCCAAAAAAAAGCAAACACTTTTCAATTCTCGTCGGTGGAATCAGATTGAAAGACCTGTTGCCAGTCGCGATACACGCTGAATACAAACCTGTGCTTTTCGTTGTCCAATTCCATGGGGCAACTGTCGCCCTCATCACGAATACACCACACGTTTTCTTTGGCCCGATTTTCGCCCGCATGCGTCGCACCCCAAGTGTTTGCTCCGTGGGAAAGCTTAAAGTAGAGCCATGGTTTGTTTGAGAATGAGGTATGGGAAATGTTGTTGGTACGCAACATGCCCCAGTACTTCGAGTCTTCAGCCCGCGCTAGGCTTGGGTACTGCAGCTTGGCAATTTTGGCAGACTTGTAGGCCATGATAGTGCCGTGCAGCCCCTGGGGATCTATTGATGGTGAGGGAATAATAGCAACGTCGGGTCCAATCACGACGCAGGCGTACAACGTTGAGCCATTGAGCATTGACGTCACTCAGCCTCACTCAAATGAAGGGTCTCGCGGCGCAGTTTAGGTACAGTGTATCTTACTGGCAGTTCGCCATGTGCTGTTGAGTCGCAGGTACGTCCTGTATTCGGCTGCTACATAGCCAACTGGAGCACGGCGCTTGAACATCTGCTCAAGTTCCAAGCGCACAAAGTGCGTGTCCCGCCAATCTGATGGTAGTGGTTGGATGTACACGAGGGGTCAGCGAGGCAGGCCGAGCAACGAACACGCGCCTCGCAGATACAAAGGAGGGGAGAACTCAAGACGAATCAGAGACTTGAGCCTACCGTCGTCATCCCATTGCACCCACACAGAACCCAGGGGTACGGCGTTGATGGCAATGTTGCGCAGCTCTCCCAAGATAAATTTGCGGGGTGGTACCCGGAGTTCAACCAAGCACGGTCGCTCCCGAGGCGCCTCGGGCAGTTGTCGGGCACGTAACCACTCGCTGGGGCCGTCAATCATGCTATAATCTGGCGAGTCATTGACAATGACCAGGACCTTACGAGCGTAGGACTGGTTGAGAAAGGAGTCCATGGACTTGCGGCCCAGATACTCGTGGACCATGTCCTTGCCCGTGATCATGAGGCCAAAAATAATTGGGCTGCCGGGCATAAAGTCTTCCTCTGGCTGCTGGGCCGGCGTATCGAGCACGATTTGATACCCGGGAAGCGGGCTGTCAGCCTCAGGCGCCTCGATCACATGAAAGGGGATATCCTTGCACTCGGTTGTTCGGATATTGTTTGCACTTTTAATCGGTGCAGCATGGTCGAACTTCGCCAGCCACAAGACCCCCACGACAACACCGAGCACTTGCGATAGCATGGTCAAGGTGCTACCAGCATCCGGTTGCCATGCACTCACAGTGCCAACCTTTTTTTTTTTTTATTTTTTCTCAGGGACAGAGGGAGAAATTGAATTGGTTTGGTTGGTTTGAGAAAGTGAGAGGGGGTCTTTTCGTAGGGGGTCACAAGGTGTCATTTTGATCTGACATTTTTATTGTTAGCATCTTCTTAACAAAGCTTTTTAACACATCACATCATAGCACATCACAGCAAATCGGCTACTCCTCCTCGCACAAAAAATAATAAAACAAAACTCGTTCATCATCACATCACGATCAGCCATCAGGCTATCGGAAGCGCTGCAAATCCACCTCTGGTGTCGATCCAAGGGGTACATAGCAAGCAAAGGGCGCAAAAGCGCCTGCGCATTATGCCCCGAACAAATAAACAAACAACAACAACAACAACACAGACACGGACACAGCCACACAGACACAGACACTCGCTGAGCGTAACGTGGTCGTGAAAAAAGAAATCTCACATGCATGTCAATGAACCACCGATTCGACACCCGACTATGGGTGTTATGCCTCAGACTCTTCCGTGTCGATCGTAACCTGTCGCAGAACGGGGTTCTTCGACGAAGAGCGACCCATGATCTCATCGAGGTCAAGTTCAATATCAAGGGCGTGATTGGGGCTGACGGCGCTCGGCGCCAGCGAGGACCGACGCTTGTTCAAAGGCTCCTGTGATTCCCGATCCGCCGGTGAAGTGCTGTATGGGGCAACCGCGCCGAGATATAATCGAGGCAGGCGGACGCAGGCGGGCAGGCGAACAACGATTGCGGTTAGTACCAGAAAGCGAACGGCAGGGTGGCGAGATGGCCTGGCAATGTTTGGGCAAGAGGGCGGGTTGATGGCGGTTTAACACCTTACCGCATCACATAGGCAACGCCAAGAACAACCAACACCACAATCACGGCAGCCGACACGCCAATGATAATGCCGGCGCGTTGGCGGTTGCTAGAGCGTTGGCTTGAGCTGCACGGTCGACAACCCAACGGCAGTCAGACAAGCCATTGCTCGATTCACTACGCTTGCAGTTGCTTTGATTGGAGGCGAAGCGCCACGCACCTGGCAGAAGGAAGCGGCGCTAGCGTATAGCTCTGTCCAATCGTGGTTGGCGCTTGAGTGGTCGAGACAGTTGCTGCAATGGAAGCTTCCAGTGTTAGAGACACGTTTTCCACCACATCCGAAGAGAAGCCATGGCTCTGCGCACAAATAAACGGCATTAGTCATGAATTGCCCCAAAGCGATGACGCAGCATGGTGATCACTGCCAATGGGAATGCTTCTGCAGGAACAGACCTCGAGATCGGCTCGAAGTGAAGGCAGGAATTTCCCAGATTCAATGCTCTGTCAGAACACCGGCCAGCACATGGACGGTGAGCTCTGATACTCAGCAGCCTGGCATGTCACGAAAAAAGATGTAGAGGGTGTCGGTGGAGGACGGGCGATAAGTACCAAATTAAGGATGGGAATGCCTTGTGCGACAATCTGAGTCGGCAGCTAAGCACGACCAGCAACACCAATCTGTGAGCCGTGGGCGTGGGCGTGACCAGATATTTGTCGTATGCAAACATGAACCAACCCGAAGGGTAACGGGCACAGACACCAAATTGCCTGCGGTGGCAACGGGGGCGCTTAAGTCAAAGAGGACGCTGGCGTTGGCCGTGGCAGAAAGCTGGAGAGCGGCTTCAATGACGTGACCCATTTCTCGAGCCAAACTCGCAGCGCTATAAAGCCCAAGCAGCAAAGTTCAGCGGCATTGTTAGTACAATCAGCGATAGGGGAACGAGATCTTGAACCCCCCCCCCAAAAAAAAAAACAAAAAAAACAAAAAAAAAACAAAAAACAAAAAAAAACAAACAAAAAAAACACCCGCTGTGCATGATGGCCAGCAAGTCGTGGTGAACGCACAGATAGGCATCATATTTCGTGGAGGCATTGTGTAGGTGTAGCGTCAAAAAAAAGGTCTGAGTCTCAAACGTGCTGCAGGCACTCGTCAGGCTTTGTGTGTCTGCGCTGGCACAACCTGCCAAAAAAGCAAAAAAAAAAGACACAAAAGTTGAAAACACCATCAGGAGGCAAGATGCTCTTGGTTTTCGCGGCCTGATGCTAAAGTGCAGGTCAGGTATCATGCTTGCACACGCTTTGCATAGCATGATCCTCTGCACGCGTGCAATCATGGGGCAACAAGCCAAAGCAAAGATCATGCAGCCATACCGCTGTCGCCAGAACCAGCACAGTAGACGGCCATAGAGGGACAACAGCTCTGGAAGATGGAGGGGCGATGAGTGGAATGATGCGTCTGGTTCGTCAAGGCGCCGCATCAGGTTCGAGGCGCGTCTCGACGTACCGAGAGAGCACGCAAGGCACAGGCTGTGGTGCACGGACTGTCTGGCAGTGCAAAAGGGCAAAAAGCGGTTGTCGTTGTCGTTGTCGTTGTTGGTTGAGGGCAGGAAAAGGCAAGAGTGTAGCCTGATTCTTGGAGGCATGACGTGGTCAAAAAGTCGTGAAAATCGGCAGCTCGACATGCAGAGCCGCTGTAGACCGTCACTTCAGCCTAGCACAAGCGGGGTTGTCGTGAGCTCAAGTTGTTGTCCAATCATGTTAGGACAACGGGTTGGCTGGGGAGGAAAGCTTGCCTGATCGTCAAGGCATGCAGTGATAACGACACTCATATTGCCAATGGGCAGGCACTCGGCCAGAGCAACAGAAGTCCAAAGCGCAGCATCACTGTTGCAAGTGGTTTCCAAGCTAATTCCAACATCGACAACAAGTGCACGCGGGCTTTCGGCAGAGCGCGTGGCTAACAAGCATATCAGCACCAAACATGAGTCGTTTGAAGCAAGTGGTAGTGCTACACAAGCAGCCAGGCGACCTTGGTTGGGCGCAAGCCAACGCGTAGAGGAGATATGGAAAAAAGAAAAACAAGAAAAAAAAAACAAGAAAAAAAAAACAAGAAAAAAAAAAAAACGGACCGACACAGGCCACGGGACGAGCAGCATTGGCGCAAGTGGCGATTGACTGGGTGGTGGCTGAAGCAAGGGTGGAGCAGTTGTTGTCCGTAAAGCTGGCTAGGTTGATGGTGGTACCATCCTGCAGAGAAAAGGGGAAGCGCCGCCGGGTGAGATGACGCCTGGAGTCGAAAGTGGGGGTACGGGGGCGTGTTCTTGACGTGTACCTGGCTGCACGTGAGATGAATGCTTCCTTGACTTTGGCGAATGCACGAATTAAGGGGCGCAAAAAAGGAACGGGGGCTATTAGCTGGGCAGTCGCCGGCGGGGGTGGTACCGAGAGCGGCAATGGTGGTGGTGGGGGGCAAAGTGGAGGTGGTGCGAATGTCGACGCAAAAGTTATCAACGCATTCAAATGTATGAGAGTAGGCGCATGGTTCTTCGTCATTGCAAGTAGAAGCGCAGACTTCAGCGCAGGTGGCTCCATTGGCGGGATCAGTCAAGCTGTCGAGGCAGGAGAAGCAGGAGGTGCAAAAATGATAATCGGCACAAAAGGCGTCGCCGGTTTCACTGCCTGCACATTGGGAGGAGGCGGTGCAGGCTGAGCCTTCGCCAAGACCTGTGCTGTTTGCGTGGAAGAAGGGGCAGTTGGCGAGACAGCCGGCGGGGGAGTCAACGCCGTCGCCGAGGTCAAAACATGACCAACAACTTTCGAAAGCGCCAACTTCGGTATTGCAGAATGAGCCATAAAAGGGGACTTCCTCGGGTGTGCAGGGTTCGTAGCAGACGTCGGAGCAGCGTTCTTCGGGCTCGATGAGGTGTTGAAAAAAGCAGGTGAAGCAGGAGGAGCAGAGCCCGTCGGTATCACAGTAGTTGCCGGAGCTGCAAGGTGTGGCACAGCGCGACGCGGTGGGGGTCGTCTGCGGGTCATCCGTGGGCATGCGACCAAACTGGTGCAGCCAGTCGTCTGGATGTCCCTCGAATTGGACATGTCCTAGCATACGAGCGGAAAGCGCCGCATGAGACAAGGCACGAGGCTTGTTGGTGTGAGCTTGGGCCGAGCTCGTATGAAATTCAAAGAGCAAAACATTTACCGGTGCTAGACGGGACGGTGGACGGGGCGGTCGGCGTTGGTGTTGTGGTCGTGGCAGAAAAGGGGGCCGTGCCTGTTCACGGCGGGGGCAAAGATCAAGCGGGGGCGCGTCGCCAGAAGGGCCAATCAAAAGGAGTTGACCGAGCAAAAGCCATCAAAATATAGGAGTGTGCGGAAGAGAGAGAGGCCGGACCGCGTGGGGACGACGGGGTTGCGGCGTGAGCGAAACTTACCCAACAAAAGCAGCATCACCAGACCCAGCCCATATCGAGGGGTCCCTGAGCCGACGACCCCCATCCCAAACGGGCTCCCGCGAATGATTTGCCGCCGATCAAAAGGAATCACGAGAAAGGGAGACGCGAGAGGGAGAAGAGAAGGGGACGAGGGAAAGAAGGGGAGCAGGGCAGATCAAGACGAGGCAGGCACAACCCAAACAGGCAACTTGAGTCTGGACCCTCGGGTCCGTCCCAGAGAGAGAGAGAGAGAGAGAGAGAGAGAGAGAGAGAGATCAAACTGCAAAATTGCAAAGCAAACGAGCTTGCCGGACGGAAAATGAGGTACACGTTACCCCCGTGTACGGTAACGTGTGTGCGAAATAATATGATTACACACACACACACACACACACACACACACACACACACACACACACACACACACACACACACACACACACACACACGAAAGAAGAAGAAATGGACACGCGCACTTTTCTTTTTTTTTTTTTTTTTGTAGAGGGGGGAAGTGAGCTTGGTGACGGAGGGTCAGAGATGTGGGTAAATTGAGAGAGGGAAGCAGAGGGGGAGACAAATAGAGGGATAGAGAGAGAGGGATTGTGCATGGAAATGGAGAGATAGACAGAAGAACAGAGAGATTTAGAGAGATTCAGAGAGAGATTCAGAGAGTGTGTGAGTGGTTTTGTTTTGAGTGAGTTCTTCGGAATCTATCGATGACGTGCACAAACGGGTGGGGTTTGGCGGTTCGGCGGCGATTCGATCCAGATGGTTCAGCTGCCCGGTATCTTGTGCGCCGGGTGGTTGCTCTTGGTGCTTGGGGTTAGGATTTAGATGCTGCGCGTGTTGTGCTCAACCCCCTGCACGCTCGGCACAGGCTGCCATAACTTTGACCAAGATTATCTATCGGTTTGGCTACGAACGCGTGGGCTTGTAGGCTCATGCTGATCTGGACAGGGTTGGACGAGGTCGCTTTCAGCCCTTTGACGGCCTTTGGCCATAGTGCTACCTTTACAGCTCAAACATGAAGCCAAGATGAAGATGGCGGTACCATCTTCATCTCCCCCCCTCCCCCACCTGATACCCGCTGCCATCAGCTGGCACAGCCGGGCGGGACGCATCTTCAAAAGCCTTTGCTGTTACTCATCATCCTCCTTAGGAAGAATAAGGTAGAGGTCCTACCTGCACAATCCATCTACTATCCATACACACACGTGTGTAGAGTGTGTGTACTGTCTCGTATGGTGTAGGGGAGTCTGTTCGTCTGACAACTCGTATGTGTGTGTGTGTGTGTGTGTGTATCTGTGACAAGTGTACGAATGTGTGTGTGTGTGTGTGGTGTGAAAGTGAGATGGTGCCCGAAAATACATGGGAGGACAGACTGCGCAGGCGTGGGTGTGGTGTGTATGTATCTGGTTTGAAAAATTCTCAATTACTTGGACAATGCAAGATGGGCATCCAACTATGCCTGAGGCAACGCGTTTTCATCGATGCGCATGTGCAAAAGCTTGAGATCGAGCTGTTTGGCCAGGCGCTGAATGCGCGCCCCTTGGTGCAGGTTGTAGGCAATTGTGGTCACGACGCCGCGGCGTTGGTTGCGACCAACGCGCCCGGCAATGTGCAGGTAGTCCACCGAATCACGTGGCGTCCCCACCAAGAGGCCCAACTCCACACCGGGCAGATCCAGGCCGCGCACGGCATCCATGTTGGCCACCACGATCAAGGGTGCGTCGGGCGTAGCGGCAGCCACGCGCTGCAACAAAATCTGGCGCCCCTGCTCCGCCTCAGTGGGCTTGACCAAGTGTACGTGAGCATAGAGGGCCACGGCCGAAAAGCGCAGCGCTGAATCCGGTCGACTCGGGTCCACGGCCTGCGACGCGATCATCGCCACCACGTCGGCAATGGGGACCGAGGTTGGCACGAAGAGCAAGGCCGATGCGGGCCGAGCCGAACGTAGGACGGCCAAGACGTCCTCAAGTAGCTCGTTGCTGCTTGGCATGGCCTGCGCAGCCTCCACCGCCTCAGCGCTCATGTTGGGCCCGAAAGAACGGCCCACCTGCTCCATGTCATAGCGCGACATGACCGTGTGCACAATGGAGGTGGGCATGGCCAGCATCTTCTCGCTGCACTTGACCATCTCGTAGCTGCGCGTCCAGCGCTTGTGACGCAGCTCACGCTTCACCCGCTGACCCAGCGTGGCCGAGGCCCCGACCAACTGCACAGTTCGGCGCAGCGGCTCCAGATCGTCGCGTTCCTCTGTATACTTGACCTCCCGGCCAAAATACACGCGATCCAAGACCTGACTGGCGGGACGCGGGTGCTTTTGCCGGCGCTATGGCAGCAAGGAGAGGGGAGAACCACGGCCATGTCAGCTAGATTTAAATCAACAGCATCGGGTTCAAGAGGTCGACCAGCAGACTCACCATCTTCTGACGCTGGCTGGCCGTTGAGCTCAGGGGGTCCAGGAGATGATCGACCTCGTCCAAAATGCACATGTCAATCTCCTGCAGAAACGGGTGGCGCTCCGACAGCTGGGCACGGACAAGGTTAGAGAGGGGCAGCCTGCAATTGACAACTGCCAAGCCGCTTCACCTCACCTCAAGGGCTTGGGCAGGCGTGGCCACGATGATGGCAGGCTCGTCACGGGTCAGACGGCGAAGCTAGACGCCCCGACAGCCCAAGGAGCACGGCACAAAGTGAATGGAGGCAAGCGTCTTTCAGGGTCAGGCCCGTGCGTCTAGCCCAAGGGAGTGACGACTGCCACGTCATCATTACCTGCTTGTTCTCACCCAGCAGACCACGGGCCAAACAGTTGATGGCTTTGCCGGCCTTGATGCCGCGGACATCCTGCCAATGCGGGGCCAAGCCTGGTCAGATCTTGTTGTCTCGTCCTTTTTCTGGATTAGAATAACGCATGCACGTCGAATAAGCATACCTTGAGGAGTTCGTGGGTCAGCTGGTAGACCTGGACGGCCAGTTCCCGGGTGGGTACGAGAATGAGGACTTGGTGGGCGCGAAAGTCGTTGGCAATGACTCGAGCCAGGGCCGGAAGAAGATAGGCCAAGGTTTTGCCGGTCCCAGTTTCCGAGGTGATGAGAACGTCGACGCCCTCGGCAATTTTGCTCACGGCGCGACGTTGCACGTCGGTGGCACGGTGAATACCCAGGCGTGCCAAGGCTGAGTGCATGGCATTGTGCAGCTGAATGCCAAAGCCTTTGGCGTGCGGTGGAGGGCGACTCTGGGCCTCGCTAGCCTGGAGGCCATCTCCCTCGAAGTGAGACGGCTCGCTGCTCCCGCTTTCTGCCCGGTCCTCCTTTGCAACCAACGCAGCGGTGACGTCCGAGGGTTCCATGGCCGTGCGGGTGAAAGCGGCCAGCTCGTCTGGCTCGGATGACTCAAGTCGTGCGGATGACGAGTGCCAGCGCCGGGCTGGCCAGGCTACGGCGCCTGTCCGGTTTAATATAGTTCGTTTTTGTTGTTGTGGTTGTTGTTGTTGTCCTGCACTCAGCGAGCTCAGGTCCGAGCGCAAATCCAGTCGACGTCGCCAGAGCGCTACTGCGCGTGACGGGGCGGCGCTGGCAGCGGTCCGCAGCACGTGGCTGCTGCTTCTACGCTGTTGCCCCACGCCGCTGGACCGCGTCGAGTTGTTTTTTAAAGCTGCAGCGTTGACACATTTACGCCACGTCTGCCCGCGAAGGCAAAGCCAGGCGGAACCCATACCCATCCCCATGCCAGCGGACGGCGCTGCCATTTGCTCGTTTTTGTTGTCCAACAGAAAAAAATAAGAAATGGCGCGCTGGTTGCCAGCTTGCGAAGGCAGTGATGGGGTTTGTTGGCTGAGCTATTATTGTCAGACTTATAAGACTACATCGTGACCCCCTTGCAGTCGCGATCGGCTCAAGCAAGCTACCAACTGTGAATGTGACCGCACACGTAAACGAAAACTGCAGCGATGGCGAATCTGAGCGAAATGGCAGCGCGCGGGCTCGTCCGCGTATATGTATGTATGTATGTGTGTGTCTGTGTGCGTTTGGGCTCGACTGGTCATGAATGGCGGGAGGAAGGCATGGGAGCGTCTGCGGATCACACAGATAGGGACGAAGGAGCGTCTCGATCCAAAGCCAGCTCGACGCCTCCCTATGCTACAACAGCAATTACGATCAGAGTCATTCATTTATTTGCCTTGGGCAGAAAACGTATGGAAATAACGAGTTATTGAAGAATCTGACAATATTGAAAGCCAATATAGTGCGTAAACAGATCATAAAGGAAAAGCTGTTCAGTCCGCAACTGCAGTAAAGTACAGAGAGAGAGAGAGAGTTTGAGAGAGAGAGAGAGTTTGAGAGAGAGAGAGAGTTTGAGAGAGAGAGAGTTTGAGAGAGAGAGAGAGAGTTTGAGAGAGAGAGAGAGTGAGAGTTTGAGAGATAGAGAAAGAGAGAGAGAGAGAGAGAGAGAGAGAGAGAGAGAGAGAGAGAGAGAGTGGTTTGGTCGGTTTGAGAAAGAGAGAGAGAGAGAGAGAGAGAGAGAGAGAGAGAGAGAGAGAGAGAGAGAGAGAGAGAGAGAGAGAGAGAGAGAGAAAGAGAGAGAGAGAGAGAGAGAGAGAGAGAGAGAGCGAGTGCGCGAATTTATTTTTTTCACACACTAACCGTGATCATGTACGTCTCGAGTCTGATGGCGCTGGTTGACTGCCGTTCGTGGCGGGCCTTTGGAGCGCAAAGCGTGGTGGGAAGGGGTGCGGGTGTGTTGAGGTGGAATTGAGGCCTTGGTTGGATAGAAATGGAGGCAGGCCTAGTTTGGGCTCGGGGATTCTGCGCATGCAATGGTGTTGCGTGTGAGCCCTCCGATCAGGCGGATGCGTGCTCTTCATCAAATGAGAAAGCTTGCTGCAGGTGCGCTCACGGCGCTATGAGTGTCTTTCGATGGATATGTAGGGCGTCGGACCGTCAGGGTGATTATCAGCTGGCCCAGACCCAGCAACAGGTTGATGAGGTTGGTGTGGTCCGAGTCTTACCGATTTCAATCCGAAACCCCTCCTTGCATTGAGCGGCGTCGTTTTTGCGCTCCTCCGTGCCCCGGTCCCGCACTCGGTACCCAATGCCTGCTCGTGCCGGGGGGCATGGATCAGCATGCATGTGCTATTGCCCGTGTGTGTGCGAGGCACGCTATGGTTGAGCGCTTGTGCGTTGCCGCATCGCTCATCCTTTTCACGTCCGCGTCCTGTAGGTCGTGGGCATTATGCGCAACAACATGGAGCGCGTGCTCGAGCGTGACGCTCGCCTTGGTGACCTCGAGGACAAGTCCAGTACGTGGCGCTGCCTGCGTCATGTCTGGCTCGGCAGGGGCAGTGCGCTTGCAGGCCAAAGAACTCAAGTTGCCTCTGTGGGCTGGTTTGCTTAGACACCCTTGCGGACGGCGCCCAGCGCTTCCAGACCAACTCCCGCAAGCTCAAGAACAAGATGTGGTGGAAGAACACCAAGGTTGCTTTCCGTCTCTTGTGATGACCGTGCTTTCGCATGCTTGTGCCGATCCACTCTTCGAGCACCTGGCGTCTTCATCGGCACCTCACTGTAACGCTTTTGGCTTGGTTTGCCGCTTTAGTGGATGTTGATTCTTATTTTCACCGTTCTCATCATCATTGGCATTATTGTCGGTATGTTGTCGTGGGGAGGTTGTGAGCTACCGGCTTTTTTAAACAGCAATTTAGTCCCGGGTTGGATCGCAGCGAGCCTCGCAACAGGGTGGATGATGCGAGGGGTTGCTCGACATGTGATGTCGTGTGCCTTGCGTCTTGCTCATTGATGCTTGTCATATTATTTATAGCCATTGTTGTTTCGCGCAACAAAAAGTCAAAGAGCAGCGGCGGCAACAATAACAACAACAACAACAACAACGACAGCAACAACACCAACAACGTCAACACCACTCCTGCGGCCTAGGCGAGTTTAAGCCCTTGACTAAAAACTCAAAGCACTTGCCCTAGCCTCCCCACCTTTTTGGCAGGATAGCCGCGTGCCTTGGGCGGTCGGTGGTCACAGTTCTCTTTGACATTTGTCTTACCCTGCGTGGTAGCGTTAATTCCTTGCCACTTTCCTTGTGTCTGGCCCTGATCTGGCCGTTAGTGTATGCGTGTTTGGTTGATGTCTTGATCGTTGTGATTGAATCTCATTCGTCGTCTTGCCCGTGGCGCGCGTCGGATATGGTGTCTCGGCGCGATTTGCTCTTATTTCGTCCTTCCGTGCGTGTTCCATGTTACTTGGTCGTGTGGCTGTCGGAGACGCGGCTGCAACAGCCTTGTCTCGCACCTTGAGTACATGCAAAAGTCGCACGGCATTGCACGGGTTGATAAAAGAATCGACGCAACCAGTCTCCTCTCTCATGATTACTTGCTGCTTTCCATGATGGAGCGATGGGCGGCATGCGGAGCCTCTCTCCGTCAGGAAGTGCTTTGATTCGTCTCAATGCATTTGCCTGCCTGTCCAACAAAACCCAATTGTGCCAGGCATAGCTTTGTCCTGGTTCATCTCCTGCACCTTCTGTTGCCTTTGCCCCTCCCTTCCTTCAGGCACCCTCCCTTCGGCCTCAGTCCCCCTCCGTCCTCCACCCTCCACCCTCCACCCATTCCATTTTCTGAATTCGTGCTGACAAATGGTTGAGACAAAAAGTCTGACATTTGCTCCAAAGCGCAAACCCCCTTTGAGGAGCCTGGGAATATAAATTTTTGAAGAACCAAAGCTGGAAAAATCCGCGATCACCTATAAGCAGTTGAACCACCACAGGGCACAAAAAGTGGGGGGTAAAAAAGCAAACGAGTTTTCAACACATGGCTGTGAAGCAGATTTCCACTACGCTTGGTAAGACAGACAAGAGCGAGCCGTCGACTGAACCGGATGACTGGCGAAATGGGCACTGACTGGGGGCTGGCTGGCGACCTCGGGGCGTGTGCGCCCGCTGGCCCGGATTCGCCGGAGATGGCAGGGCGCTGGGTCGTGTTGTGGTCTGCATGATATCTGTGAGGGGTCTGTCAGTGCTGGCCAGGATTGATGGATGCGCTTATAAAACGCAGCAGTTCTGGGGTTGCCCTCTCGGCCTCAGCACGAGGCGTGTGAACGATGTTGCATCCTGGGCCTCCGACTGAAGGAAGGGTGCTGAGTGACTCCGGCATCGGGGCTCAAAGAGGGCATTGTTGTCCCCTTTGGCTCTCAGCAGTAGCCAATTCTCCAATCCCTGATTGCCTGCAGCCATTGTTGTCCAAATCCTTGCCTCGAGCCCTGCCCCTGCCCGGTCGGTGCCGATTGAGTCGAGCCGGACAGAATGCTCATTTTGGTGGCTCTTTCTGCGTGACCGCCTGCTTTCTTGTTTTTTTTTTTCCCTCTAGCATCATGTCTGTCATTGCCTCTGCTGCCCGCGTTCGGCCCCAGGTTGCCGCTGCCCAGGTACGAAGCGTCTGTTCTTAGCTTGGGCATGACCTTGACCTTGGCCAGCAGCGCATCCAAGTCAAATTAAATTTGCCTCATTGTGTTCCGCTTGCCTGTCTTTCGCTCGCTATCACGTTATAGCGGCTCTATGCCTCGGCGGTCTCCGCTACCGATGCCTTCCCTGGTACCCCCTCGGTCACGGGCACCGTGCCCGCTTTTGGCAGCATCGAGGTGCGTGCGCTCCCAGACCGACCCTTTGCGCATAAACCTCAAGCGTCTAGCCTCACACCCACATCTCTCTTGTTAATGTGCTCCACACAGACCACCCGCCTCAACAACGGCGTGGTGATTGCTACCCAGGACAATGGTGGTGTTGCTTCGGCCATGACCATTGCTGTCGGCGCTGGCAGCCGCAACGAGACTGCCGCCACTTTTGGTGCCACTCACTTCCTCCGCAACCTTGCCTTTACGGTGCGCACGCGACCGGCCGGAACTTTTTTTTGTTTTTTATTCGTTCTTAGGTCTCAGGTCTCAGGTCATGAGCATTAGTTGGCACACTCGTATGTTAACTCACGTCCCTTCTTCCTGCACTCGCTCCCTGGACACTTTCCCTGTTTGCGCTGTGCTTGCTGGAACCATCTTGTCAACAGACGACGCAGCAGCGCTCGGCGGTCAAGATTACCCGCGAGTCTGAGCTTCGTGGTGCTCAGCTTTCTGCCACCAGCGCACGTGATCACTTGCAGTACAACGCTCGCTTCCTCCGCTCCGACACCGCCTTCGTGTCCGAGCTTGTGGCGGAAACCGTCGCGACACCCAGCCTTGAGGAGTGGGTTGTCGCCGGTCAGCGTGCTCGCGTGTCCGGTGATGTGGCCGCCATGGCCGCCAACGGCTACGTGGCCCTGATCGATGATGTGCACCGCGCTGCGTTCCGTGGTACTCCTCTGGGTCGCCCCATCGTTTGCCCTGCCTCGAGCATCAACAAGGTCTCTGCCGAGTCCGTGATCGACTTCCGTAACCAGCTCTTTGCTGGCTCCAACGTTGTGGTGAGCGCCGTCAACGTTGATCACCAGGCCGTGGTGGATGCCGTGTCGGACCTGCTTGGCGGTCTGGCCGCCGTCAGCGTTGACCAAACCCAGTCGCAGTACTTTGGCGGTGACTCTGTCATCCCCACCGATGATGCTCAGACCAACGTTGTGATTGGTTTCAAGGCCCCTGCTGCCGGTGCCAGCGATGCCCTGGCCGCTCTGGTGGCTCGCAACCTTCTCGGTGGCAACGGATCCGCTCTCAAGTGGAGCTCCGATGCCACTGCCTCTCGCATCGGCGCCGAGGCCGCCAAGGCAGCCTCCGGCCCCTTCCAGGCCTCGGCCTTTGCCAGCCTGTACTCGGACATTGGTCTGGTCGGCGTGCACGTGACGGCCAACACCGTTGATGTGAAGCCTGTTGTGTCGGGTGCCGTTGAGGGCATCAAGGCCGTTGTCGGTGGCAAGTTCACTGACGAAGAGTTTGCCGCTGCCAAGGCCCAGCTTAAGCAGTCAATCCTGATTGACTCCGCTGCTGGTCGTGCCCAGGACATTGCTGCCCAGCTGCTCAACGCCGCTGCTGTCGAGACCCCCGAAGCGGTTGCCAGCCAGGTTGACAATGTCTCCAAGGACCAGGTTGCCGCTGTTCTCAAGAGCTTCACTGCTCAGCGCCCCGTCTTCGCTGCCCGCGGCAACGTTGACAACCTGCCCTATTTGGACACCCTCGGCCTTTAAATTGGCGATGCCAACCTCTTTCTCGTGCCTCTAGTTTGCTACCACGAATAGCTGACCTTTCGTTTGCTGTCCAACATTGCCTCCGCTGGGTTGGTTCCGGTCACGCTTATCGTGGCACCTCTGATTGCGAGGTCTGACCGTTGGGCGCCGACGAGCCCAGTGCAGTTTTGCCATTTCATGGTGCTTTTCCGGCAATGTCCTTCATCTGCACTCAGCACGTCTCTCCATAACCCTCTATCGTCATGTCTGTATTTTCTCATCTGTTTTGTTCTTTTTTTTTCTTTTTTTTTTCGTTCCCCGTACCCGGGAACGTTGACGACTCATTTTCTGCTTCTTCTTTGCTGCTGGCAACTTCTTGTCATCCCCCTCTTTGCTTTTTTTCACCTGCCTTCATGCCCATTCTGGGTGTTTGTTTGGGTGGCCATGTTCATCTCTATCAACTCTTCACCTGTTCTCGTCCCTTGTGCCCTTTCAACGCTCAGCCGTGCTCACTTGTGGCTCCATCGTGGCACGAGACGTGAACCAAAACCCGGTGGCCTTTTGGTCACGGGGGCTTTTTCTTGCTCTCCCTCACCTCCTGTTTCCTCCACCTCGGCTCCTTGCGGTGCAAGCCCAATTGAGCAACCGAATCATGCTAGCGCATTTACTGAAAGGTTGTCATGATCAAGTTTTTATTTTTATTTTTTTATTTATTTTTTATTTTTTGAAGATGCAGCGCCAATGCAGGCAATGCGTTGGGGGGAAAGGAAACCAAAAAATACACGAAGCAAACAAGAAAATAAATCTGGTACATCATCGAGGTGCGTACGGGGCGGGGCTAGCTTGAGGCCGTGCGTAATGCTTTGGGCAGTTGTAGCAGGGGACCGGCCACAGCTTAGCTTTTCACAAGTTCAACAAAGCCACCTGGGAACATGCCCATGGCGCCAGTGCGGCAGTTGACTCCGATCCACCAGCCGTTGTCGGCCTTGTACTCGACCACCAAAATGTCACCGGCCTCGAGGTCGACTTCCTCGTTGTCGGCGGCCGTGTAAGGGTACAGGGCCTTGGCGCGTTCGGCCGTTGGCTCGGCCTGGATGGACTGTTCGGGCATGGCCTCTTTGTGCGCGGCTTCGACCGGAAACCAGGCAATGCGCTCCTCCGTGTGGACATTTTCGTAAACAAACTCACCGGGGCGAGAGCGTGAGGGAACGCGCTTCCAGCCCTCGGGCAAGTTGCCGTCCAGCTTGGCTTTGCGGGCGGCCAAAGCTCGGCGGTTGCGTTCCTTCGCTTCCTCACTCAGTCCGGGCTTGGTGGCTGGTGCGGGCTCGCTGTCGTACACCTGTGCGGGAGGGCGTTTGCTCGCACGGATGAGTGCAAGAGGCGCGCGTGTACCGCAGCACGAGGGAACAGTACGCGCCCAAGGTATTGCGGCAAATGAAAGGCGCGGCGAATAAAAGGTGCAACAAACCTTGGCGTCCACCTTGACGGCGGGTTCAGTGGGAAACCAGGCCTGTCGTTCTTCCGTGTACACATTCTCATAGACAAATTCACCCGGTCGAGAGCGGGATTCGACTTGCTTCCAGCCCTCGGGGAGGCGCTTGGCGCGATTTTTGCGCAGTTCCTCCAAGGCCTGTCGGTTCTTCTCCTTGATATCCTGCGTGGACTGAGCCGAGCGGCCATCAACGGCTGTTGATAGTCCAGCCAGCGCCCGGGGCGCCGCCCTGAGTGAGACAGCGGCCAAGGGACGGAGGGATCAACACGGGTGGGGTGGCGGCGGCGTACCATCACGAAGACGCGCGCGCCGGGCTTGCAGAAGGCGCTTCTTCTCCTCGCGCACGGCTTCGGGAGCCAATGCGTTGAGCTCATACATTGACATTTCAGTGGCGCCCTCGGCTGCGAGCGCCATGGACCAGTCTTCCTGTCCGTGAGGTGGGCGGAGGTTGAGGTTGAGGGAAAGCAGCAGCAGAAAAAGAGAGGCGGGGCGGGGGAAGCAAGGAGCAGGGGAGGAGGAGGTGGGCACAGTCGTATGTCGTACCGTATCCCAAGGCATCGTCGATGTTCTTGGCCCTTCAACGCCGCAACCAACAACAACCAACCAGCACCAGCACCAGCAGCAGCACCAGCACCAGCACCAGCAGCAGCAGCACAGTGAAACGCTTGTTTCAGCCCCTGCTCGTGAAAAGTAAAAAAGGAAAGAGAGAGAAGAGAGAGAAAGAGAGAAGAGAGAGAGAAGAGAGAAGAGAGAGAGAGAAGAGAGAGAAAGAGGATGAGAAAAGCGATGAGAGAGAGAAATAAAAAGAGAGCCAGAGACAGAGAGAGAAATAAGAGAGAGAGAGGGTTGTTGTGATTTCCACTGCACACATTGGAAATGTTTCTTCTGGCAAGATCAGAAGTTATTGTTGCAGTATATCTAGTTATCGTCGCGAGTAACGTAATATCCCGTTAAAACATACATGAGCAATTGTTGCTGGATGGGGAGTTATTGTTGAAGCTGAATGCTCGAGGTGAGAGGACCGGTCGGACGGGCCAAGACGCAGAAAGGGCAGCGTCGGGCTGGGACGCGTGTCCAGCAAGGGAAGAGGCGTCTGGGGGTGGTAATAAACGGTGATGGAGGGCATGCATGGGAGATGGGGGTGTTTGCCGTTACGCCTGGGGGTATTCTGCAGAGGCAGGGCTGCCACACTGCGCTGGCGTGGCGTTTGGACGAGTCACTGGCCAGCTCACTGCGCGTCGGGTCCCGTGCGTGCTGTGCTGTGTGTGCCGTGCCGTGTCGTATGGTGCAGGCTGATTGGAGAAAAGCTTTTCTACGTGCTTGGGCCAAACGCTGTCATCTCAATCTTTCAGGCTTGACTCAAACGAAAGCAGATCAAAATGGCGAGCGACCTCAGCGCCGTCCAGGCGTCTCTCGAGGAGCTGTTGGCTTCGACCAAGGTCAGCCGCCATCACCCCAGGCTCAGAAACCCGTACAGGGGCACGGCGAGCTAGCTTGCCCTGTCCTGACGTTTCGTTTCGGTGTATGCAGGTCAGCGCACTCATGACGGAGAAGCGCGAGGTGATTGCCGTGCGCGATGATACCAACCTCTTGGAGGCCGTCAAGCTCATGGCTGCACACGTTGGTCCCGCGTCATACGCCTTGAATCTTTTTTTTTTTTTTCTTGTGTACATTCTTGCACCCGCCGTACTGGTTTCAGACAAACTCATGGGAACAATGGTACCCACCATTTGCCGCCGATTAGAATGTTGCGGCATGCCCGGTTCGATCCAGCCAAGCACCCGATGGTACACCATGGCGCGAGGCCTTTGTTGGCTTTCTCGACACACTCTCCATCGTCTATTATCTCTACGATACACTCGAGGTCAGGCGTCAATCTGCGCCTGGGGGGCAGCTGTTGGCCACACAGCGCTCTAGACCAGTGACGACCTCATCGTTGTGTTGCTCCACACGCAGGACATTGAAAAGAATGGCGGCAACGCCGCACACCTACAGAATGACCACCGAGTCGTCGGGGTGCCAGTCTCCAAGATCATGGGTCCGTCCGCTGCCACCACTCTGATCTCAGCCTGGGACTGATGACCCTCACATGACACGTCAATCCGCCATTTTTGATGGATCTCATTCGAATCGACTTGTTGTTCGATGTTCACACAGACACGGCTACCCAGGGTCCCTTTGTGCCGCTCACGCCCGATCACACACTCCGGGATGTCATGCTCATCATGGGCCGATTTGGCCTGCACCGGTTGCCTGTCGTGTCGGGGGACAATGTGGTCGGCATTATTACGCAGGTACGCTCCCCTAGCCCCTCCTCGAGTCGCTCGCTCTTGCGTGCTCGAGCTCACGACCCCACGCTCTGTGCCTCAGAGCTCCGTGGTTGATTACATCGTTGGCCACGAGCTCGATTTTAAACCAGCCTTGCGCCTCACCGTTGAGGAAGCGGGTCTATCAGACGTGCGTGCATACCCTTGCCTCTTGAATGCCCACAACCCATAAGTCTTTTGACTCTTGCCTCTCACCTCTCGACGCCGGGTTTTTAGCAGAAGCGCAGCGTCTTCTCAATCACACACGATGCCTCTCTCAAGCAAGCCATCGAGATGATTCGCACACAGGTACGCGCTGATCTCAACCTCTCTTCTCATTGTTCCCAAAGCTGCACCGCCGTTGTCGGGCACCTCTTTGGGGACAGGTGGTTGCGCCCGGAACCGTTGCCCCGTTCTGTCTCACTCATGAACATGCCCCCTTGCAGAATTTGTCAGCAGTGCCGGTTCTTGGTGTCAAGCAGGAGTTGGTGGGCAACGTATCATCGCGTGATCTGCGCAACCTGGTGACGCATGGTGGCCTCTTTTCCCTTCTGCATGAGCCTGTTCGGTATGTGTTGCTGCAGATACCGCGTGCAGCATAGCAAAGCCGCGCTCAATGCTCACGAAAAAACAAAACAAAAAAAAAAAAAAACATCATGCCAGGAAATTTATCGATGCCATCACTGCGGCCGAGCATGAGGCAATGAATCCCGCCATTGGATGCAAGACGAACCACAGTCTGCAGCAAATTATGCAGCAGGTGCGACAACTCAAAACTTCTCTGTGCCTGTCTTGACTCTTGACGAAAGCTCACACTGACCATGGTCTCTTCGCAATACCGCGAGTGCAGCTGGCTGTATCAAAGATTCATCGCATCTACTTGTGTGACGCGCATGATCGCGTCCTGCGGGTGGTATCGCTCTCAGACATTCTCAACGTGTTTGTGCAAGAAGACGCGGGTTACCTGGCTGCCTCATTCAACCTCGAATAATCGGTCTCAGACCGACAGGGTCTACAAGAAAGCGTGCTCAGTATATCAATTGTCAAACCGATTTTGGCGCAGCATCATGTCATGAATTTTCGATTTTCGATTGGTGAATCACCGTCTTGGGTGATGTGCATCAAACCAGATGCGACATCAGATCGCAGAGACAAAAGAGCGGACAGCACAAAACGAGACGGGCAACGAGAGTAGCCTTGCCGACTCACGGCAAAGATAGGGTCTAGCTACTGTACAGCACTCTCCTCAGCAAATACAAACAAAAGTCAAATGGCCTGGATCCTCTGCTTGGCAGAAGAAGGCACAAGGAGCCCACTCAACGGTGAGGTGGTGTCGAATTCTGGCGCGCCGTACCCAAGGCCGTGCCTGCTTCAAGATTCGCTCTCCACGACTTTGGGGACCAAGGATTCGGCAGTAGCTGCCGCGGCAGCGGCCGTGTACGAGGGCAGCACGGCCGTGTCGTGCAGGGCGTCGTCGTAGCCAGGCAAGGCAGGGGCCGTGGCATCAACGGGAGCAGCACTCGATGCGTGGGTGCTGGAATAGGCCGTGCTGCTGGCAAAGGCCTCTTCGTCTTCTTCACTGGGAGCCGAGGCCGTGGCGGGCGGAGCCGAGGGGGCGGGCGAGGCAGGCATGGGATGCATGGGGAAGGGCTGCATGATCATGGGAGGAGGTGCGCTATGAATGTTGTTCATCCAGGGATTCAGCTGGTCCATCTGCAGACCGGGCCGACGGTAGGCATGACATTGAATGGGCTTGCGAGATTCAACGCGCACCTGGTGCTCATAAAGCACCATGAGGGCGTATTCGTAGGTGATGGTCACGCAATTCTGAACAACAACGTCGGTGGCAGCTTCCAAGGGCGGGCTGCCGACTTTGAGGTGTTTGCGCTCCGTGCGCTTGAGCGCACCGTTGCCATCCAGTCGGGTGACGCAAGCACCGTGCAAACACTTTGTCGTGGAGTCCCACACGAGAGGTGGCGAGCGGGTGGCACTGCAAATGAAATCGACCTGGCGAACGTAGC